GGACCTTGTTCTGCTGCTCCAGGAAGCGAACCTGGAAGTCCACAGAGGGGAATGTAAGAGATTTGCCCCGGGATCCTGGGAGATGTGTCAGTCCTCAAATGTTYTGCTTTCTTGGACAGTTAAGGGAATTCGTTTCTCAAATTCAGCCTGCATTAGTTTGAAAAAAAGTGCTAAATTATGCTTGCAAACCTTTCCAAAGTATGAAATTAGATGTGTCTACCTATCACGGAATGTTCCGCTTATGAGCTACAAAGAGTATTGTCTTGTCTTGGCTCTGCAGAGAACACTAGAAATAAAAGTTAAGGAAACACTTGGAGCAGACAGCTTTAGAGCCAGTCTTTTGATTTTCCCATGGATGTAAAATTTTCACAATTACATAAAAGAAGTAGAAGAGAAAATCACTGCAAACCTTCCAGCCCTGCCGATATTGAGCTGAGAAGGGGAATATGTCCCTCTCCAGAGCACAGCAAAGTTCCTGAGAATCTCCATTCCCAAACAAATATAGTTCCATTCTCTCACCTTGTCAATGAAAGAAGCAAACTGGTTGTTAAGAGTCTTGATCTGTTCCTTCTCCTGACACTTCACTTGTTGGATCTGAGGATCAATATCAACATGGACTGGCCGCAGGAGGGTTGGGTCAACTTGCACAGGTTGAATGCCTGCAGGGAACCCAGGGCCACCTCTCACAGAGCCACCAAAGCCGCCTACTCCTCCACCAATGACACCTCCTCCAAAGCTGCCAATGCCTCCTCCATAGCCTCCACCGAAGCCACCGATTCTACATCCAAATCCACTGCCATAAGAGCCACCCATGGCAATCCTTCCACTTCCACCCATGTTATGGAGGCTCCTGCTGCTAAAGCCTCCACAACGTCCGCCGCCTCCAGTTCCCCTGGACGTGGAGAACGAGCTATAGCTGATCCTGCTTCTGCCCCCGCTTCCTCCAAAGCCACCACCGATGGCAGAGCAAGAGCTGTATCCCCTTTTGCTTCCGCCTCCAAAGCTTCTGCAGATGGACTGCCGAGACATGATTGCTTCTTCCAAGTGGAGTTGAGAAGAGAAGTCAACAGAGCTGTGCTGCAGAGAGGCAAATGCAGAGAGAAGTGTTCGGAGTCTTCTCTGACTCCACAGCTTCAGGCATTCCCTTTTATCTGTTTCAGGAGGTGGGCTGGGTCTACATGGGTGTGAGGAGGAAACCAATTTATTGTGTTCATCAGCTTTGTGCGGTTAACAGATTTTTGCCAAATGTAGACTCCACCCAGAATTACACTTTGCAACGCAGAAGAGTAATAAAGGAGCAAGAACAGTGAAACATGTCTCAGTGAGTAAGTGGACTCTCCTATCTCAATGGCATCTGGAAATATATCTTCTACACTGATGTAGTCATGCTCATCCCAACTCCCACCTTTCCATCCATTCTTAACAATTTGTCATTTATCTGGATTTGGATCTTTTGCACTGAAGCACAATGTCAGGCAAGCATTTTGGTCAAAATCTGAAGCTAGAATGAGACTTTCACAATTCCCCCAAACACACCCCATCTTTTTTTTTTTTATTACTTTTTTTTAATGTGGAAAACTGCTGATTGCTTTTCAGGAAGCAGTTTCCCAATGTAGAGCAAGAATGCCACACATTACCATTTAACAAGGGTCAGCATTTCTTTTTTAACCAGTGAGGAGGTGCTTAGCTGCTCTGCTTACCATCACTTGGGATGGGAGTGCCTTCTCCTCCTGGGACAAACCCCTGTTGAATGCTGAATCCCAGCGTCTGGGCTTAGCAGGCACTAAGGTGATGAACACTACGGGAGCACCGGGAATGAGGGAGCATGGATGGCCAAGCTCCTTGCTCACACCTTCCCAATGGATACGGGAAACATTGAACCTGCAGAAGAATGGAATGACTTTGGGCACTTGATGTGATGCTGGCTGCAAACAGACAAATCACAGAGAAATACAGGCAGGGATATCAATGACTTTCTTAAGACTTTTTAATTAAGCGGGTAAGTAAAAAAATGTAGCGGAAACTCTCATATCTGATCATTTCCATAACGGGGAAATAAAAGGGGGAAGAAGCTCTGAGGCTCCGTTAAGCAGCTGGTTGAGAACGCTGCTGTGTATCGTACGTGTTTCAGGTTTACGGCAAGAGCACCTTAGGCTACAGGCAAATTAGTCTGAGAGAGAGTAGAGGTGGGAGCTTCCAGGCTAAATTCACCATAGAAAAATGTGCAATTCTAGGACACTAGCTTTAGCTTCAGACTACTGAAAAGTGATATTCAATATCATGCACGTAGCAACAAAGCATGACTTTTGTGGGTAAAAAGATCTTGAGATATCTCATTGGTCATATTATACCATGTCAAACATACATGTTAGTGACAGTTATAAATTGCTGGAAAAATATTTTTTCCAAAACGGTAACTTCTAAAAGTCATCAATAGATTTCAAAGCCAATATATCTTACGGCCATCTAAGCAATTCAGACATCTAAAATAAGAGATGACTTTAAGCTTCCAAGGGCAAATATATTTGTAAATTAGGATTTCAGAAGGTCCTCTAAGACAAGTAAAAGTTATTAGAAAAACACAGGTTGCCTGTTCTCTTGGCCGCCCTCCACATTGCCAAACACAGGTGTTGCTCTTCTCCATAAACTCCCTCACGATATCCCAAAGGGCAGCCCAACAACCAATGGGAAGATGTGCTGTGTCAGCTAAATACCAAGATGCTGACCATGTTCTACACACTCAGATAAGACGCCCAGATTGAGTCAGTCTGACGTCTTCAGACAAGATTTGGAGATTATTCCCAACCTGGAGTCGCATCAGCCTCCTCCAGGTAAAACTCGATAGACAGCCTGGGCTCCAGCCACCCCT